ACGTTCCCAAATAAATTTCCTACACACAAATCTATATCTCAGAGTCTGCTTCCTGGAAAATCCGATCTGAAACAGTGATGTCAGAATTGGTCCAAGAAAGCGTATTTCCTTCTGTGTTTTTGGAGCTGAATCATCAACTGACCAGCTGCTGAAAAGGACCCCGTCACTGTGGGCGGGTTAAGCATGGATAGCTTCTGAGATTGTTAGCAGTGTGGTTGTTGAAATGTTCACCAGAATTGAACTGAAACGGCCTATCAGTGGAAGGAAGGCCGGGGTTAGGCACTGTGTCAGGGATCTGATGAGAACACGGAGAACAGTACTCATGAGGACAGGGGGACTGGATGGCTTTGATGAGGAGCAATAGAGAGAGAATTACCTGCTGAGAGTGATGAATAAGCAATTAAATGCCAAGTATGAAGTCAGAGGGCCTCTTGGAAGGATATAAAAATTCTCAACTTCTGCAGCCTGAGGGCAAGAAAATCTGAATATTGGGCTCAAGGCTTTGTCATAAGAGAAACAGCTCCAGAGAAGGTAGAACTTGGCTGTTGTGCCTGATATGCCAAAATCAAAGCACGCTTTGGGGCTGAGACATTGGGATGGTGGTATAATAATTGGTGTACTCAAAACTGTTGAATTTCTAGATCTCCCTGAGTCCTCAGGGCCTGAAAAAGTGCCTATTCCTCCCTGTTAAATGCTATCATTTGTCCCTTGCTTAAAGATAAGGCAGAGGATTTTACTTTGTAAGAAAGTACATGGAAAAAGACTATACTCAGAAGCTGCAGGATGTATGTGTGTGTGTGTATATATATATATATAATATATATACCACCAGGAGCCAGGAGAGGGCGCACGAGGTAAATTCTGAGGCGCTGAATCCAGGCACCTAGGACACAGGTCGAATAACGGAGAGTCTATTAATTTGAGAGCGCTTTCCCAGGATACAGGGTTTTACACCTAGGCAAGGATTCCGGGAGATGGCACAAAATACCACCAGGATGGCTCTTAGGAAGCTTGGGGACAGTGATGTCCACACTAAGAGAAGCGGAAATGAGAGGAGTGCCATGGTAGACAGCTGAGGAAGGGACCAGATAGCTCAGAGAAGCAGTCGTGCTACGGTGTTCCCCGGGAGGATGCAGAGGGCACCTGGCACTATAGCAGCAAGGGCTGCTTTGTTGAGTGAGGCAGCAGGACCACAGAGAAGCTAAGTGGTGACTGTACTCTGCAGGCATGGGTTGAAGATAGGAGACGCTGTACCACAACTAGACCCTCTGATAGCAGTAAGAAGTACAGGTTCCCAAAGCTGTCAGGAGCATCCGAAACAAGCTGAGCACACTTGCCACGAAGAACAGCCAGGCAGAATGGGATCTGGTGGAGACTAACCTACAGGGAGATATGGAGATGATTAATAGATACACTATCCCTGGGGACCAGATAGATGGTGAGATAGTTTAAAACATGTCCAAATATTCTTGAGTGCTCCTTTTAAAAAGTGGTCCTCAATTCCCTTCCTCTTGAATGTCAGCTATTTTAGTGACTCATTTCTAATGAGTAGAATAAGGCAAAAGGGATGATGTATGACCTCTGAGATCCAGAAATAATAGACATTATGGCTTCCGGCCATGCTGGAAGACACTCAGACAGCCTGATGGAGAGGCCCTGATAGTGAAAAACTGAGGCCTCCCGCCATAAGGAACTCTTACTAATAGTTATCTGAGTCAACTCTAAGAGGATAGTCCAACCCTAGCCAAGCCTTCATATGACTGTCCCAGCGGATATCTTGATGGTAACCTCATGAGAGAGCTTGAGCCAGAATCATCAGCTGAATTGCTCCTGAATTCCTGATCCACAGGAAACTTGTGAAATTATATATATATATACATAGTTTTAGTCGCTATGTTTTGGGGGTAATTTATTATGCAGCAATAGATAATTAGTACAAGGAAGTTTTTCTCAACTCCTCTTCAACATGAGATGTGCTGTGTGTCCCACAGAATGCTATACTTACCCATGTCAGGGCCAATTATACTGTGTTGAAAATGTACCTATTTGATCTCATCTCGTAGGTATAATGACCCCCAAAGATGTTCATGCCTTAATTCCTAGTGAAGATGATACTTTAATAGCAAAAGCGATTTTGCAGATGTGGTCAAGGTTCAACACCTTTAAATGGACTGTTCTGGACCACCTGGGCGGTCTCAGTCTAATCACAGGAACTCTAAGGACAGAACTCTCTCTGGCTGGAGGCAGCAGTGATACTCATAATGTCTTAAAGACTTTAACTAAAGACAAGACGTTATAAACCTCTTAGAAGAAAACACAGGCAAAACATTCTCTGACATAAATCTTAGCACTGTTTTTTTGGGGCAGCTGGGGGCACTCTGTCTTTGCTATCCCTGTGTCGTCCTGGGGCTGCCTCCTCCGTGAGTGACCTCAGTACTCCCCGCCTCTCCCTCCCCACCGCCAGCTCACCGGCTCTCTCCTGGACTGCTGCAGCGTCTCAGTCGTTTCCAGGACTTCAGCTTTACCTTCCTCTACTCCATTCCTCACTCTGGTGCTGGAATGCTCTTTCTAAAAAGCAATTCTTGATCGAACCACTCTCCGCTCACACACACACACACACACACACACACACACTCACACACACACCATCCATGAGTACACTGAACTACACAGTGAAATACCACGCTTTCTTCCACCTCTTTACGTGTAGCTCACTTTGCCCAAACTTGCTTCCTCTTTTTCTGGTTGTTGCTCATCCAGCTCAGGCACCAACTTGGGGAAGCTTTTCCTGAGCACCCCATCACCTCTGGCTGGGAAGGTGCACTCCCATAGCTTTGTGTTCTTCCTTCTACCATTAGTTTTGGGTGCACTGTAGTGTGACTGTTAATTTGCTTGTTTTCTCCCTCCACTAGTCTGTGAGCTCCTTGAGTTCAGAAACCTCATTTTACTTATCTCTGTGTCCCCAGGCCTGGTGAAGTACCTGGTATATAATAAATGTACGTAATGAGTACTTACCATAAGTACTACAATACTACGTTCCACTTTAATGCCGAGTGCCGCTTAATCCTTAAAATCACCTTGCTTCTCAAATATAACAGATGTTTACATTTCAGTTAGTAGAACAATGTAAATTTTCTCATTAACATCCCTTTATTCAGTGTCGTGGATAATCTTAAATCATTAGATAGTCTTTCAACCCCAAAGATACAGGAAAAGTTTTTATTATCATTTGAAACATTTTTGGCCCAGATATAACTTCTTAAGTCTTGAGGATCACCACCTCCCTCCATTGCAGAAAAGAGGAAGTTTCTGGTAGGAGCTACAGACCCAAATGTGTGTGTGTATTTGTGTGTATGTGTGTGTGTGTGTGTGGTGGTGGTGGTGGTGGGGTGTTCACTGAATAGGAGGAACATTCATGACTGCCATCTTTTCTTTTTTTATTATTATTATTTATTTATTTAATGGTGGTACTAGGGGTTGAATCCAGGACCACCTGCATACTAAGTATACACTCTACCACTGAGCTATGCGCTCTGCCACTGAGCTACACCCTCCCCACTGGCCACCGGCCCTCTTTTCTTTAGAGTTCTCTGTTCTCTCCCCAACCCCCTACCCCCCATCCCGACCCCCCGCACCCCCCCCATACCAAAGTGTAAGGCAGGCTGCGGGTGGCCTCCTTTGGGTATGTGCCCCATCTTCCCTCACTCGGACGCTCCTAGGAGGAGCAGGGCAGAGTCTAGGGTTGAGGAGGCAAGGAACAAACAGTTTATGCAAGCATGGCCTTAGGTTCAGGGAAATGTCTCTACAGTGTGGACTTACTTTTCCCTGACTCTTTTGGTTAGAATTTCCAGTCTAGAGGAGCAAAACCAGAGTGCAGACACCCAGGGTAAAAGGGTGCAATGACCTAGAGAAACTTCTCTGTTTAAATATCACGTATCTCCCCTACCCCCAGCCCACTGCCTCCTCTGAACCTGTTTCCAAAACAAAAACATTGCCCCAAGAAAGAGCTTACCCAGTGGAGCAGGCAAAGGCTGGGGGAGTCAGGTGGAGGCAGGGAATCCTGGCCAGCCACTTTTCTTGTTATCAATCCCTGTTTGCCCTGCAGTGACGGACTGGCTAAACAGAGTCCCTCAATTAGGGTTCTCTACTTGGACACCTCCCTGAATACTTAATTCTTTGCAAAGTCTGGGTCAAAAGGTTTAAGGAAGAAGCCAAAATATGAGTTTTTGTTAAAGAATAATTATCATCTTTATACAGAACCTTTGTAATCCTCAGAAATATGGAGTCAAGTGCACAGATTTTCTTCTAGAAGAAAAGGAAATATCTTTTTAGTCTATTCCCAAGGCCCTAAATTACATTTTCCCTTAGATTTAACCTCCAGGAAGACATTTTTATCTTCCCTGGAACACCTTCTGTCACCACCTTCTCTCTGGAGAGTCCCTTAAATGGCTAAACCAATGATCCTACCCCAAGGAGATTTCCCAGGTAATCCTTCCTTTGTGCGATTATTGCCAGCCCGTCTCTCCCAGCCCTTTGTCCTGGCACCTATGCATCTGTGAAGTAGTGGAAACTAGCTGAGTTCAGGCCTGTTACCCACTCACTGGTCAATGAGAGTGTTAAAGAGAAAAACCACAGGCCCAAAATGGCATCACTTGTGCTAAAGCCCACGCTACCAAACCTAGACTTAATACCTGAACGTAACTGCAACTTCAACCTTAATCAACCAGTCTGGAATTTTCTGGTCGGCACAAGGAGGTCATCTGCCTTGAGGGCCCTTTCCATGCCCCAGAGAAAAAGGAGGAAACTTATGTGGTAAAACCCTTGCCATTCCCCACCCAACACCCCAGAAAGGAAAATGTCCTGGCCTAAAAATAATCCCTTCTTTTCTTTTACTCCCTCGCCTTCTTCTTACACAAACCTTGCATTTTGTGCAACCGCTCGGAGCACCTTCCAGGCACTGGGTGGGACGCCGCCCATCATCAGTCCCCTCACAGAGCCAGTCACAGCTTCACATTTACTCGGCTGTATTTTGTTTTTTAACAAGAGAATTCACATTGAGTGCTGCTTTAAGAGGCAGAAGAATGCTGTCCAGTAATGTTGTAGAGGATGAACTTAGTCTCTTTCCAACTTCTATCCTGGGGGAAGAAACAAAGACAGAAGACATCATGACATTCAGAAAGTCTTCACAACTACAGAGGAGCTTTTTCCTGTCCAGGAAAAAACTAACAAAACACATGATGAGGTTACTATGAGTAGTGTTATCTCAAGGAAGTAGGGTCAAGTAATCTTTACCTTTGTCTTAGTATTTTTATATAAAAAAGATATATAATGTAATAATTAGGAAAATTTTCGGCCAGAAAAAAGACACTATTTTAAAAAATCACATAGAACCCCTCATATGAAAGCCACTATTAACTTTTTCTGACATAAGCTGTGGAGATGATTATTCGCTCTTCAACAGTTTAGGATATATTGTACAACAACTATACCTCAATGAAAAAAAAAGTTTGGGACAAAAAAGGAAAGTCTACTTTATCAAAAATAAGCTTCCAAAAGATGCTAACATCATAACAGTAACTCAGAAGAAGCTCTCCCTAACTTCTGAGTACTGCCACCCCACCCCAGAAGCCCAGCCTGCCCTCTTCAGGGCTTACCTCACTCACAGGGATCGGAATACTGAACTGTGGCCTGTTCATCTATAAAATGAAATGACATAAATTATTATATTGCAGGCCTCATACGCACAGAAAGAGAGAAGTACTTCATAAAACCTGCTGCTTTAACCCTCTTCTAAGGATTTCTACAGATTATGAGCATGTTCAGGATTACAGCAAGGTTCCAATCACTAATATCTGCATGCTGGTGGTAAATTAATAATCACAGCAAGAATATTAAGAATAGTTAGCCCTTAACCTGAATCTGAAAAAGAATATATATATGCTTATGTATATATAAAACTGAATCACTTTGCTGTACACCTGAAACGTAAATCAACTACAGTTCAATTTTTTTAAAAAAGAATAGTCCTTAGAGAACATTATTCTTTCAGTCTACGGACCACATTATATAAAATATGTCTAGTGAAGAAGACTTTTGTAAGCAGCATATAATTTAATTAAAATGTTTTAGGAGAACAGATAATAAAATTATGGGTACTTGGCTTGGAAAGGAGTATTCGTTAAAATGAAGAGCGTTATCATGAAGGAGGCAGAAATACGCTGGGAGACGCAGGGAGGTTTCAGCCCTCACCTGGGAGGTAGTAGTCATAGACTCTGACGGTTGCTGGTTTGAGGTTGGTGACCAACACGCCTTGGCTGACGGTGAAGGTATAGGTCTGAGTCTCCTTCCGGAGCTGTGGGGAAGGCAGACAAACATCACATTAGAACAGAAGTGAAAAATAACGCTCTGTATCTCCATCACACCGAAGAATGTCTGGCATCTACTAGCTGCTCAATCCATGTTTGTTACAAAAGTGGATAGGTACATGGAGAATTTAAGACAATTGTATACATTAATCCAATACAACAAGAAAATAAGATCCATGTTATACATTTAGATGTGAAGCTATAAATGCTTAATTGGAAAAGATTTCCAAAGGCGTGTTTCTTTAGGTATAGTGCTTCTAAAAGAATGGTCCAGGAACTCTGAGGGAGCCCCAAGACTGTATCCGGCAGTCTGTGAGATAAGAATTATTTTTGAATGAAACTAAGACATTATTTGCTTTTTTTCACTCTCATTCTCTTTTGTTGTACAAGTGTAAGGGGGCAACTTGATGTGTGATACTGCAACGGATTGAATGCAGAAGCAGACGGGAGACTTTCACTCTCTTAGATTAAGCTAGACGTTAAAGCAAAAAAAAATGGAAAACAATCTGCTATTCTCACCATTTTTTTGTTCTTTTGGGAAATACATTTTTCATAAAATGTTATATTGAAATATAGTGATTTTATTATTGTTGTTTTTAAGTAAATAAATTAATATTTTTCTCACTTTTCATTTTTGATAAGACAAATGTCAATAGATGTAACTCACATCACCACAAGCTCCTTGAGGTCACTTAAGAGTATAGAAGGGTCCTGAGAAAAAAATCTTTAGAACCACTGTTCTTGTCGATCATTGAGTCACCATAAAGATTTAAAGTAAATGACTAATATAAACCGAAAGAAAGCTGCGAGAGCAGCCTTAATATCTGACCAAATAGAATCTAATGCAAAAAGCAAAACAAAACAAAAATGGGGTGTGTGTGTGTGTGTGTGTGTAGAAACCAAAGAAATATATATACATAAAACACACGTATATACAATTAGTGTAAAAGAAGGACAGTAGATACTAATAAAAGGAAAATTGAAGAAGATATGTTCATAAACATAAAAAGGCCTAAGTATGTAGTAGAAAAATATATCAAGAAACAACTGACAGAATTGCATAGATAAATGGATAAAGAACAAGTCAACAACTGTAATTAGAAATTTTAATAGAACTTTTTCAAAAACTGATAGATCAAGCAGAAAAATAAGCAGAGATAACAAAGGCATGAACAGCAGAAAGAATGATGCTGGGCGTTTAGATCTAGGTCAGATTCATACCCAGGAGAAGGAAAGGAGTTGTTTTGGAGCACACGATGAACATCTCCCAAAAAGACCAAATATTCACGAAAGAAACTTCAATGCATTTCAGAGGCTCACTATCATGGTCTCAGTCCATAAAGCAATAAATTTAGAAATCAGTAACAAAAGGATGGCTTTAAAAAAATCCCATGCATTTCCAAAAAAAAATTAAGATACAGAACTAAATGGTAGTAAAAACAAGGCTTGTTGAAAATTGTGGGACAAAGATAGGATGTACTTAGAGGGAAATTTATAGTTTAAATTTATCAGAAAATAAGAAAGACTAAAAACAAACTCAGCATTCAACTTAAGAAGTTGGAAAAAAAAATAATAGAAAATATCCCTTCCCCCTCCATTTAGCCCAAAATAAAGAAGAAAGAAATAATAAAGGAAGAAATTAATGAACCAGAGCACCAAAACCAAACAAGCAAATAACAAAAAACAACAGAGAAGAGGAATAAAACTATAAGTTACTTTTGTTAAATGTGAATAAGATCATTCTCCAATGAAGTTGATCAAGAAAAAAGGAGAGAAGATACACAGGAAAAAGGAAATAATCACAGATGTAATTGGCTTTTAGACTGTCAGACTTGAGGACTCAAGTCCGAAACTGACACCCACTGGCTGGATACATTCCCTGATGAGCCAGCCACTGCAGTCTCAGGAATGGCGTCGTGGGAATTAGAATCCCCTGGTTCTACTCTCAGCTCAGCCACTGATAAGCGGGATGACTTGACAAGCACTTTCTCTGTCACTTCAGCCTCAGTCTCCTTACATAGAAGGAGGGTGGTTATGAAAGCACCATAAACTTTGCAAAACGTTTAAATAACTACATCACAGTTCCAGAGTTGTTCCTGATGGACTAAACAGAGTTGTCTCAAAAGAAACTGTACAGGGTTCACTGAAAGGAACAACCCCCCGGGTCCCCAAGAGAGAAGAACCAGGATGTCAGCCCAAGCTCCCCAGATGGCACCAGAGTCTGCTATTAACCACTCTGTTATTCTCTGGAGCTGTAGTACCGCATGGGACCACAGAGCATTTGAAATGTGGCCGTTCAGAATTGAGATGTGCCATCAGTGTAAAACACGTACTAGATTTCAAAGATGTAGTAAGGGGAAAAAAGGAATGTAGATACCTCATCAACCCTTTGTATATTAATTACATGGTGAAATTTTTAAAATTGGGGGTATATAAGGTTGAATAAAATATATAATTAAAATTAATTTTATCTGTTTCTCTTTAATTTTTGTAATGTGATTACTAGAAATGTTTAAATGACATAGAGAGCTCCCATTTTGTATCTCTTTGACAGTGCTGCCCTGGAGACACACAAGGGTAATTTATGGTACACCAACATGGAGGCAGAGTTCATCTCGTGGCTGTGGACTCACTCCCCCAGGTTCCTCACCCTCTGTATGTGACACTAGAATATGCAGATGAGAAGGGAAGTTGCAAAGATACATAAGCAGTCAAGCTCTGTGGTTCCGTTCCTGATACCTACCTCTTCCAAGTAGATGTTAAGTGTGTCAGTTCCAGATTCAACCTTCTTCACCAGTGGTTGCTGGAGAAGCTGATTAAGAAAGAAGAAAAAGGAGACTTAAAGCCAAAGCCTTCTCTATATCCTCAGGTTGTCTTCCAAAGCTCTGCCATGATCAAGGAAACAATAAATACTGTGGAAAAGGTAAGAAGAAGGAACCAAGACAGTAACAGTTTCCATGTCATGTATCTGACGCAACTTTGTAGCCCATTTAGATAACACAGCCATGAGTCGTACATATAAACCATGATGCTCACAGTGGGAGAGTACAGCTCAGTGGTAGAGCGTGTGCTCAGCATGCATGAGGTCCTAGGTTCAATCCCCAGTACCCCCCTTAGCTAAACAAATAAATAAATAAACCTTATTACTTCCTCAACCAAAAAAAAAATAAATTGTAAAAATAAAATAAGAAATGAAAAAAATAAAGAAACCATGATGCTCACTTCACCAGCTTTTTAGTGTTAATGTTAGGCCCCCTTAGAGCTAGTCAAATGAAGAAAACAAAAGTGACTTACTAACTGTTTGGTGCCCTCCATGGGACTGAACCCGGAAAGCATCTTTACTTCCACAATGGCCATATTGGAAGAGCTGCGACTCCCCACGTAACTGAGGGCAGAAAGAAGCAATCCTGTATGAGCCCATTATCTTCCCTCTCAGCACACTCTGTGTCCCCAACACACACACACACACACACACACACACACACACACACACACACACACACACACACACACACACACACACACACACACACACACAGTCCAGCTCAGCCTCTAGGACCTAGGTGCCACTCCCCCACCTCCGGTTTCCTCACCTGGTATGGACAGTGAGAGTCAAGCGTCGAGGTGAAGTACGCTGCTCACACCGAGCTTTCCCCATTTCCACACTAAGACTAAAGGCCTGCACACTTTTAGGAGGGAGAATATTGTATCTCAGCACCATCTAGTAGGAAGAAACAAAGAACCAAATCAGATTTGAGAAAAATTTTAAAGACTGTACAATTCAAACTACTTTCCTCGCAAATAAGGTAGATAGAGAGAAGGTTCCATTGGAGGCAGAGATGCCCTCGGACCCTCCTTCCCAATGCACACGCGATCTCCTGGATCCCTGCTCACCTGCACATAGACACAGCCGCGGCCTGAGGCCTCCATGGTGTACACACCAGGAATACTGGGCAGAGTCTCCTGCTGAAGCACCAGCCGGTTGGCAGCCTGCACGATGAAAGTGTGCTGGAAATTCTGAGCCGATTTTACTGCCAGGTTGACTCCCTCAGACGGCACATAGGCAGTCGTGGCATATTTGGCAAGAGCTTGGAGAGCGACAACAGTATCCTGAGGAAAACAATCAGGCATGGGCTTACCAATTTGCGAGCCACTGGAATTAACCTCAAACAAGCCGGCAGCCTACACGTCTGGTGGTTGTTCACTGGCTTGGATGATACCTCTTCTGAGTATCTAGGAACCACGTGCACCAACGCTGGGGAAGCTGACAGAGAACTCATGTCTTGCCTATATAGAAAATCGCCATCAAGTTGTTATTGAACATCCACAGGTCATTAGGCTAATCTCAAATATTCATATTCAGCAACAAAACCCAGCTTCAGAATGGGCTACTGTTATAAGTGAGTGGATCACTGTTCAGTATATATTCTGCAGTTTCCTTATTTGGGAAGGAAATGGCAGTAACTTGATGACCCTAAACATTGCATGTTCTCCAAAGTTATTTAATTGTGTAATGATCTGCTAAGCACAGATTATTGGGAATCCTTAGAAAATCCTTCCTTGAAGGACAAGGCTTCTTCGCCATCATACCATGTGACAATCTTTTCTTCATCTGGGAATAAGACAGACAAACTGTCTCTAAGACAGCATGGCATCATGTAAAAAGTTTGAGCCTTTCTATCCTGAAAACTTGATTTATACAAATTACAACTGGGGGAAGGAAAAAAAGAATAAAATGAAAGAAAATTGTCACACATCACTCTTTGTGACAAGAATAGAAATAAGAATTTCTATATGCTTGAAACTTTATAAAATATCTACTACAGAATAAAGAAACCCCACCTCTTCCTATCTCAAATAAAAAGCTTTATTTGGACACCACACTATCACATACAAATAGTAAGACAGGCCACCAACCCAGAGGGAGCTGTGAACATGTTATATCTGTGCAGCTTGGCCATCTACAAACGACTTTTTTGCCTGCCCTCTGTGAACTAGAGCCAAGGAGGGTTTTATTGCTTGGACATGTGGAAACAGTTCAAGGAATGGGACCTCACCATTGGCTGAAAACCAAAGTGACTGATACGTGACTTCTTATAATAGATAAGGATTTTATTGAAAAACAACTCTGACGTATATCTGTTGCTGAAAGTTCTAAACATTTTATCCACTGCTTTCTAAAATTATTTAATTATTTAGGGAGGGCTCAGCAAGAAGGAAGTCTTCTCTGATCTTTGACCAAGAATCTCCCTGAAAGAAGAAAGAATAGTACCATATAATTTGTTTTTTAATTTTTTATGGAGGTTCTGGGGATTGAACCCAGTACTTAGCACATGCTAAGTACACACTCCACCACTGAGCTCTACCCTGACTCCCCTAGTTTTTTAAAATCCCAATTAAGTCATTACCATATTCAAGTTTAGTACTCTTGGCATCTTTGTCAGACACTCCATCTGTTAAAATCTGTTCATTTTTCCAGGTCTAATTTACAGATCACACTCCTCAGTGAAACTGGCCATAATTTCAACAAGTCAGGCTATAATCTCTATGACGACAAAAAATACATTTTCTTGCTTTTCTTCTGTATCATCATGACTTGGGAAGAGTAGGTATTTAATACTATTTACAGAACAAATGAATGAATGGCTACTGTTTTTGTGAACATCTAAGATGGTTTTTATGATGATATTTGAATTTCTCTTACAACTCCATCTTTTTTTTCCCCCTGCAGCCACTCCGCTAATTCAATTTCTCCTTACCCCAACTCAAAGAAATGAAACAAAGCCTAAAAAAATGAATAGTTTCTCAGAATTCGGCACAACCTGAGTCTGATATACAAGGCTCTTCGTAATATAAAGCAACCCTACCTTTTCAACTAAGCCTCATTATGCCTCAGCTAAGCCAGTTTTCCCAACAGCCGTTCTACAGTGTCTCCATTTATACCATTCCCTCTTCCTTTCAGTAGCTGCATCCCGAAACTTTACATGTGCTTTTAGATCTACCGCAGACGCCATTCCCCCGGGAAGATTCTTCTAATCCCTCAAGCTGACCGTGGGCTCTCTCTCCCTTTTGTAATTTAGTATTTTGCACCTTTTGCATCTTCGTTCTATAACCAGACTCTGCTTTGTAAATGTGTACAAGTTTTCCTCGTGTTTCCTGCTAGATTGTAAACTTTTTAGAGTAGAGACTATATCTTATCAGCTTTCCAATACCTGAAATTAGTAGAAGGAGGTATGCCCATAAAATCTTGCCTTTATGCTTACAGACCCCATAGTTGGCTTTCTAACTTGTGACTATGTAAATTTAGCCACAATTATAGATGTCCTCTTCACATGTAAAACAAGGATCGCGTGGTGTTTCGTTCTCTACAAAGGAAGACTCTTAAATGTATACAGTACTGTTTATGTGTTCACATGGTCCAATTTTATGAATCTTTCTACATATTGTTCAAGTGCTTGTTCTCCATTTCTACAGAACTATTAGTCCCTGGACCTAGAGGGCAAGGGCGAGTTTTTCCTCTCTCTCCACGCAGGATCTAACCCTACCTGACAAGCAGGAGTAGGAGAGCAGGCTATTCACCTGAGTGGAAGAGAAGCCCCCATATGCATTTCGCTGCTTGACCAACCAAGCCACCATGCCGGTGGCCTTGGCTATCTCCTTTTGAGTCAGGCTGGCTTTGCTAAGCCAGGCCAACAACACATAGGCCGTCAGCTCCACATCTACAGCCTCACGCTCAGACCAAGGGCTGGCATTCGACGACCAAGTAGGTTTCTGGCTCCAGTGAATGGACTCTCCTATGGAGAAGAAAAAACATAATTAGGAAGGTCTTGGAAGGAAATGACTCTCCCATATTCATTTTGTAAATTCTATACCTTAAATCAGAAAAGGTACCAAACAAAAATTAATGATGAGTCGGAAAAATGTTCTTCTCAAATCTTCTGATTTATTGGCCACAATGTATATGCAAGTATGCCTCTGTGTGTGTGTGCACACCCACATGTAATTCCGCAGGGTAAAGCTGGGAGCATCAATAAATGCCTCCAGCAATGACCTCCTAACCACCCTTGTTAATTTATAAATTCTAATGCTAATGGAGATAGGTAAGTAGAAACTTCTTATAAGAATCTTATGTGTTTAGGGGCAATTTTTTTTGGCTCACAGAATTTTATTAACTTTCGACATTTATTTTACTTAATCAAAGGTTTAACATTTTAAGAATGAAAATGGCAAAACATGCATCAGAACTCTGAAACCACAGAAGAAATGCTCATGAGGGTGCACAAATAGAACAGGAGACCAAATCCAAACTCTAGGACAGCCAAGACGGCAGAGAGCTTGAAGACAAAGAGCAGCAAGTGGAAACGAGAAGAGTGGAAGCTAAGACGTCTACTTAAATATAAGTTTAGAGATAATAAATACATTGCCCACAGGAAGCAACCTCACTGGAAGAACATGAAAGACAACATGTGAGCCTGCAATGCGAGGCAATGGAAGAGAGATAATCACATGAAGCCAATATTCACTGGAGCAGGTATAAGTCTCCCCACGTCTGAGACACCCATTCCATGGCTTGAGTTGTAGTATACACAGGCCGAAGAACTACCCAGAGCCCCCAAGAGAGGGCGGCTTGGCAGTGAAATTCATAAAAATAAAAGCTGAGATTAAATTGCTGCCTGGAAGTATGATTTTAAATAAATGGCTAGGGTAAATAAAATGCATTACTGTTTTATGTATAAGATCTGTTAGAATGTCGGATATTATTCTAAATACTTCCAAAAGTTTGAAAAGGACCTGGAGAAGTCTCTACATTTAAGTCTCACCCTGTCAACCTCAGTGATTTTTTACACTAAAGAATTGTTAAATGCCTGCAAAAGGATGATTCTCCAACGCCAACACTTCTTCTGCCATCTATTTCTTTTCATGTGAAAAGTGTAACATGCTTTTGAGGACTTTCAGGGGCTTTCCTGTGAAACTCTCAACAATGATCTTTAAGACTTAACTTTTACTAAAAGGAATCCTAGAATTGAATATAGATGGGACTATGGAGACTAGGGAAATTTTGCACACATTTTCAGCCTGTTTTCATAATTTCAAAAACTCCTACCATGGCCGACATACCTGAGATGACAGCCTGTTGATCTAACTTGTCGAGAAGAATGTTTCTGATGTCCATCTCCCCAGCCAGAGAGAACGTATAAGCTAGGAGGGCCTGTGTGTAGAGGTTGGTGGTGGAGGAAACAGAATTCTTGAGACACTGCAGACCTTGACTCACCATCAGATCCTAAAAAGTGAAGATGAAGAACTGAATTTATCAGGCATTCCTCTTAAAATGGGAAGTGATAAGGAAACCATTCTATCCTCTTCCAAGTTTAAAAGGCTAAACAGGGACAAACAGTGGTGAATTTCTCTAGACACAGGCATGATCAGAAGAGCGTTAAGCGGAGGAGCTAGGGAAACTCACGTCTTTGGTCTTTCCTATCTCCAGCAGTGCAGCTGTGATGTAGGCAGTCAGCGAGACCACATCATCAACTCCACCCTAGAGGGAAGCAGGGAGACAGGAAGTCAGGCCAGCAGCCAGAACGTGCAAGACCTGTGTGCAAATTGGAAAAAGGTGTCCCTCTGAACAGATGAATTACTGGGGGAGAAAAAAAATCACTCCTTTCCACAGGCTGACTGCAGCCCCAAGCCTCCGGGGCGAACTGACTGGACTTAAATAATTGCACAGCCTTAAATAGTAACCTGCAAAAGGTAATGTGAGGTCTTTAGCTCTGAGTGGGTATTTAGGAAACCCATGAAAGGGGGTTAGGAATAGGTTTAAAAAAAAAAAGAAAAGAAAGGGGAAGGATAAGGAGAAAATCTCTTTTTTTTTTCCTCTGAAAATAATGTGGTTTTTTATCCTGAAATCTGAATTTTTTTACTGAATCTGGAGCCTCCCCACATGGACTTCCCCTCAAGTAGCACAAAGCCCAGCCTCTTCTCCAGGGGAGATTAGGTGACACCTTCCCTGATTAGTGCCTTTCACAGAAGTATATTAGCAAGTTTTTGAAAATAACTAATCTAAACAATTATCTTCATTCTACAGATAAGAGAACAAACACTTGAAAAGATTAAGTACTTTGTTCAGAAATACACAACTAATAAGCTGAAGGACTGGGACCTGAACCCGAGGAGTTTAACTCTGGAGCTACTGCCAAGGACAAACGACCAAGCTTGACAACATAAGTGATGGCTTTCTTAAGATTCTGGCCAGCTCTGGTAAGACAGGAGGAGGAAAAATCTCTAGGATCTTGTTCTAGTCAAATCCTGGCTTGTACTTCTCCCTGGTATGGGGGACACTGGTAAGATCCTGCAGAAGGAATCCTGACGAATTCTATACAGAGATCTTGTTTTCAATGCTCAAGATTTGTAACCCAAGCTCTGGAACGGCAATAATGATTCCTCTAGGAAAGTTGGTCTTTCTTTCTTTCCCTGGGTATGTTCTGAACTGAACAAGCTGTCCCGCGGCCCCAGCACCTCGCCCTGTGTTTGGTGGGGGGGTGGAGGGGGGTCAGGCAGTACAGTGAATGGGCCGGAGCAGCTACTATGGTTTAAATTACTGGAGTTCAGCTACTATGGTTCCCGGGGTCCCGGAGTCCAGCTACTATGGTTCAAATTACCGCCCTGCCGCCCACTAGCATTCCCCTTGGGCAGACCCGCACCTTCATAGCTGTGTGAAGGAGCTTCCCAACACTGGCGTAGCAGCCGCCGGGGAGCTGGTTTCCCGCCAGCCACTGGAGAGCGTCCTGGATGTTCTTGTCATCAATGAAGATGAATTTCTGAGCTTGGCCAAAACATTTGGTGACAAAGGCTGTCAGCCTATATGAGTAAGGAGGGAAATGTGGCATGAAGGGGGATTTCTAGGTGAGGATACAATAATCCTACAGTTTATTCTGGTGTATGATTCCAGAAAGGGAGACAAGGAAACATAATGTTGCAGGAAGTCAGAAAAAGGGAGGCATTAGTAAGCATTAATGGCGGCAAGAACTGGGGAGGGACAAGGTCAGGGGGAAGGGGGAGGGGCTTGAGCATATATGAGGCTGTAATAAACAGTATTAAAGTGGTAGAGGACAGAGAGCAAGGAGGAGTGGGGTCAAGGCGAGAGGCAGAGGGATAGTTCCAGAGGGTTCAAGAATTATGCTCTGGGGTACAGAACGCATTGGAATCGGGCAATGTTACCATGTGTTTCCATTTCCATCCTGCTCCCCGAAGGCACTGTATGAGCCATTGCTGTGTTTGTACATTAGCTCCCTCTGGTACCCTGGGAAGCCAGAGGTGGTTTTAGATCCCCGTGACAACTCCAAAAAACACCCCCATGGCTTTCAAGGATGAGGGACACTCCAGGAGCTAAACCTCCCTGTCTTATTAACCTCTCACAGGCCCTAGAGCAAAGGTGTCCAAGAAGAGTGAACCAACTCACCTATCTCCAGGAAACCCACTGCCCGAGACCTGATTTCCTCAGTCAGCAGCCCTGACTTTTCCAGGTACTGCAGGACGTAGATGATGGGGGCGAACAAGACCATGTTCTGCTCCCCACAGCCTTGTGGCATCTGCACCAGGTTGTCTAGGTTCTGTAGGGCTGTGCCCATGATGTCTCCTGGGATCCAAAAGGAGAGAGAAAGAATGTGGTGGTAGAAGAAGGAACCTTTAAGAGTTATGATCATTCATTTAACAAACATGTGTTGCTATCATTTAGTGAGTTCCTACTCTGAGGCCTGGGAGACAACAAGTCAAACAATCTCTACTTCAAAGAGCTCATAGTCAGAGGGGCGCACAATTACAGGACAATGCAATTCTAATTCATTGTAAGCAATTACATCATAGTACTGTAATAATGGGTATATACAAGGTGCTGGAGTATACAAAGAGATACATAGGCCACCCTAAGGAAGTTCATGGCTTTCAAAAAGACATGTCACTGGAGCTGAGGACAGGTGTAACAAAACCTGCAATACTTAGCCTCAATCTCTCAGTGCCTCCACTGTGTACAAATACATCCCCCTCCAAGTCACCAAGTCGCTCCCAAACACACACACTCCTGATACAGTTTTCCAAGTCATATCTACTGACCCCCTCCGTTTACTTAGCCAGTAAGCCTGACATAAGTGACTCATCTGCATTTTAGTCACTGAGTTGAATTCAAGTGTATAAACCAGTACTGAATGTCAGCCAACTGCAAGAACTGTACCAAGAACAAGAATGAAAAAGATGTGGCTCTTGTCCTCAAGGAACTCTCAGAGCAGTATGGAAGACAGACAGACAGTGAGCTATGTAATACAGTGAGTGCTATACCAGAGGGACGACTCAAAAGGAGTCAAAACAGAGAAATGTTAATTAACCTGGAGGGATCTTGGTAGGGGGTAAGGATAAAGAAAGACCCTAACATGTGTAGGGCTTCTACTATGTCATAGATACTGCGCTGGGAACTTTATATTTAATCTTTGGATAGAGTTCTGAGAGAAATGTTATTATCACTGTCTTGAAGGGAAGAGAAAGATCAGAATCGTTCACTAACTTTTTCGAGGTCCCATGGCTACTAGATGGCAGAACTGAGATTCTAACCTAGCCTGATATGCTTTTCTGCTTACTCCTTCTCCTTGCCCAAAGAAGTGATGTTGCCTAGGTAAATAGGGTTGAATCTTCCTAAAACTATATTCAAATAAATTAATTCCTCATCTTTAAATGATTACTGCAAACATTTTGTCTCCCCTCCACCCAGTTTACAGACCACCTAAACCTATTTGCATAACAAGCTTCTATGACCTTTAACTTCCTCCTGTCCAGACTCTTCTCTGTTTTTAACCAGAGTTCACCTCTGTCTAATCCCACCTGTACTGCACAGGCTGCATTTGCCCACTTTATAAAATAGGCTCTTCTTCCTTCATCGCTTCTAATCTAGTCTGTTAATAATTTTAACTCTGTTCATCATATTCCACTTAAAAATTTCAAAACATATTTATACATCAGGTCCCAAATTAAAATTAAACAAAATGCACAAGCCACCCCTTGAGAAATAAAATGAATGAAAATTTATTTGCCTCTTTCACACCTTTCTTCAGGTAGGTCCATATGCCTCAACCCACTTCATACCCTGGTATCCGCTGGCCCCGTTTTCCCTTCTTTGAGCCCAGCATCTCTGATTGCTCACCCAGAACAGCAACATAAGCCTTGGTTGAATCGGGAACAACATCCACGGGGACCTCCAGGGAGATGGATTCTTTCACCGCTTTTCCTGTGAGAGACAGAGAAAAGGTGAAACAAGAGAAGGTGGAAATAGTGGCGGTTCTCAAGCCCAAACCATGGAAAAACTTGTCATAATCTAGATTTTCCATCCCCAGTGCTTTCTGTGGGATAGAGGCAGGTTTTTTGACCCTATTCATAGTGGTCTTCCCTAAAAATAAATTCCAAGAGCCATAATTGTGCTGTACATCTTCTCTTCTTCATCCTGCCTCTCAGGTAATTGGCCCCATCAAGGATGGTACCCCTAGACTCTCCTATCCCTTCTTGTCCTGTATGGTCCTCCTTTTGCCTAAGAAAATCTCCTGTTGCCCATGGGAATTCTCCCACCAACCCCTCTCTGTGTTCACCCACCTTTTGGGCACAGCAGTGAGCTGTGTGTCTTCTCCACAAGGACCCCTTCAGGCTGATATGAAGAGAGACATGGATAAGTGAAGACAATGCAGATGAATATCAAGGCAGATGGCACTGAGGGAACAGGAAGGGGAAAGGAAAAGGGGAGAAAAGGCTCTGCTTGTGCCTCCAGGGCTTCACTCAGAACTGGAGAGAACAGAGGTTCTCTCTGACGTACAGAAGGACTCCAGGTCAACCCAGGGAGGGGCCTCTCAGTAAAATTCTTTCTGGGCAAGGCCTAGAGCTAAGGACAAGTTCTGTAGAGGCATCCTAAGAGGCAGGATGGACAATTGGGTTCATGATGGGATTTTTTAAAAAGCAGCTAATGATGGATTTAGGGACTTTAATAAGAGAAACTAGCATTCATTGAATGTCTCTGAAGTAGCAGGCACTGTATTAGGCACTTTCATAGACCATCAATATGAGTCAAGCAGATAGTTAAGGGCAGAAGGGGATCAGGGAAGGAGAAAGGGGAGCTACCTAATTGGAGTTGGAGTAAGAATGCTGTGAGGGACTAACTGACATGGTTAGACATATACTGAACATCCTGGGTTGGTTGTTGTCTCCACCTCTGAAGCAAGGCCTGCAGAAAACTCACCTTGACCAGAACTGGTTTGATGAGTGTGTCACTCCTGCCCTTTTCTGGAACAAACCCCTTCTGGCCCCCACATAGTTCATTGCTGTCCAGAATCTTAGTACTGATAGTGAAGTTCACATGACCTGAGGAGAAAGAGGGAGAAAGGAAGGCATCAGCCCTCTTAACAGAGGTACCAATGAGGTCTCTTCCCCTCTGGAACAGTGCCTCTTAAACTCAAATCACCTGCAGATCTTGTTTGTTACCATACAAACTCTGATTCGGTAGATCTGGGGTGGGGCCCACATTCTGCAGTTCTAACCAGCTTCCAGGTGTCAGTGATGCCGGTCCTGTGGGGCAGGTAGGCAGCCTCCAAGGACCCCCGTGATCCTTGTGTCCGGATATTTACACTGTGGTGTAATCCCCTCTCCTTGAATGTGGGCTGGATTTAGTGACTCGCTTCTAACAAAGAAGATCAGGCAGAAGCAATGCTACATCTCTTCTGAGATTAGGTCATAAAAAAGACTGAGCTTCTATCTCGGGTGCACCCTTCCTCATGTGCTGCTTGCTCTGGAGGAAGCCAGCTGTCTGTCAGGAGGCAGCCCCGTGGGGAGATACATGTGACGAGAAACTGAGGGGGGCCACTAGGCACCACCTGAGGCCAAGAACCGCAGCCTTCAGTCTAACAGTCCGTAAAGGTCAGAGGCTTTGGAATGAGCTTGCATGTGGGTTCTCTCCCGGTCACATCTTCAGATGAGAACACAGCCCTGGCTGACAGTTTAACTGGAACTTCATGAGAGACCTTGAACCAGAGGCACTCAGTGAAACTGCATCAAATACTGACCCACAGAAACTGTGTGATAGTAACCGTTCATTCCTTTAAGCTGCTAAACTTCAGGGTAATCTTTTAAGCAGCAGTAGATAACTAAAACATTCAAAGACCACATTTTGAATGGCAAGGATTTAATCCAAGAACAAATGACATCTCAGAGGGTTACTGTGATAATCAAATGAGTTAATCCATGAAGAACAGTTAGAATAGTGCCTGCCCCATACTAACTATTCAATTAGTAACATGATAATATATCCCTCGTCCTGGTGTAAACATTAAAAGCGCCCCCTTTCACACTCAGAATAGCCCAGAATATATATAAGAATATTTGCTTATTTATTTACAATATAGACTTAGGAGGGAGAAGGATAGAAGCAAATAAAAGGAAGAGGAAGAAGGAAGCAAAGCAAATGCAGTAGAGGAAAGGATAGAGTTCTCAATCTCTATGCATTGTTTTTCCCCATCTACCGGCTCCTCCTCTTACCCAGTTTGATAGCTGTGATATTCCAGTGATAGGATTTTGCTTCATCAGCACAGAGACAGCTGGAGGCCCCAGAGTCAGTCCGTGATTCCACCCGGTACTCATCTGATTTAGCCAAGTGAGTCTGCACCTGAGGAGGATATTTGAGTATTAAAAGTTTGTAAGTAAAGGAGACAACACAGAGCGGTTTAGGGAAACAAGGGGGGAGAGACACCAACAGCCCATCTCTTTCCCAGGGAAAATCGGTATGATTCCAATGTAGAGAGTGACACCTGCTTCCTGTATCCCCAGCTCTTACCCTGATGCAGTCCTTTAGGTAATTGAAGATGGTGGCAGTCAGACGAAAAGATTCTCCACGCACAACTGAGTAAGGGAGAGTCAGATCAACAAAGAATGGCTTGAAGGCAGTCAGTCCAACAGTGGGTGATAGACCAAAGCCGCTGGCCTGGGAGGTGCAAAAAGTCATGGCCTTCCACGTGGTGATGGTATCAGGAACCGTGACGGGGACCGCCTCCTTCCCCGAGTCACTGTGAGAACACAAGGACCCCGGTGGAGCAGACGGCGGAGAAGAAGAGCATTGGGGAATTAAGTTATAAACTGGTCTGCAGAAGTGAATTTGTTGTTGTTGTTGTGTGTGGTGGCGGGAAGCAAAGAGGCAACTGAACTGGAGGCCCCCATGAATCTCAGAGTATGAGTCTTCAGGGGAGGATGTACAAATATGCGAGAAGGGGGGTGCCTGAGGGTAAAGGGAGGAGCACGTGTGGGTGGAACAAATCTGTAAGGGAGGCCAGTGCTCTCTGAATCTGTGAAAATATGCATTCTCATGGCTTGTCAAAACTAGCAGGTAAGCAGTGGGCGAGAACTAAACTAGTGTTGATACGGGCCTTTATGTTTGCGTGGCCTTGCAGTGAGAATGCACTGTCTGCACTGTGAACATGGGGAGGAGATGTGTGCATTTGTTTCGAGTGACTGTGTGTGACTGTTTAGGAATCCAGGGAAAGAAACACGTTCTCATGTTCCCATTAAACTTTCTTGGCTTGAGACTTAGATCTGCTAGAAATGATCTGAGTCTGAGTTGTCTGCTGACCCCACCCTGTATACTCAATCTTGTTACACCTTTGAGGCATCACTTACTCAATAGGAAACAGATCCCAGAGCCAAGTCTCCGGGAAGTACTGGCGAACCTGAGAATGCTCTGACTGAAGTGATGAAGTTGGCTTAAAAGCCATTGGACGAGAACCATCCGCTCCTAAGGAGACCAAGAATAAGGGAAAAAACAGAGTTAGTTACACAATAAATTGAGGTAGAGGAACTGCTAGCAAGAAACTCAGTGGGAAGCAGAGAACATCCGGTCAGAGACGAGGAGAAAGGACCACTGAGGAACTGACTGGTCACAAGGCCATCAGGGGAAGTGACAGACAAGGACATTTGACCGAGGAATGAGCAGATAAGGGCTCCAGGGCTTCAAAAGCCTTCCCTAAAGAGAAAGAGAGATCCTTGGAAAACTGGCCTGCTTCTGCAACCCACAATCCATTATCCTTCTAAGGCTAGAGCCTCAGTGCAAGAATAAGAGGCAAAGAGGAAGTTTCAGAGTCCCACAATTCTAAGTACCTCAGTGAGCCCACGAGCCACAGAGGTAGCTTACCTCCACCCATTGCAATGCTGTATTTTTCAGGCAGATGATTGCAGACTACTGGCTTCTTGATTTTGGCATTGGACAGTATTTTCAGGCCCATGTCCTGACAGGCAGCAAAGGAACCAAAGAATGAAGTGTTAAGGTGGTCCTCTCCCTTCCTACGAGGGCTACTGCCTAGAAATTTCACCCTCAAAGGGTTGGAGCAACACATTCTTTGCCTATTAATTGTGAGATCAATACTCAGCCACCAAGTTGAGTTTACTTCTGTTCCAGCTACTGTAAAAGCCCTTCAATTAAACTTATTTCTCTCTGTGTGTGTGTGTGTGTGTGTGATGTATAGATACATATATATCTTCTGCAAAATGATCACTATAATAAGTCTAGTTAACATCCATCACCATATATAATTACAAACTTTTTTTTCTGATGAGGACTTTTGAGATCTATTCTGTTAGCAACTTTCAAATACACAATACAGTATTATTAACTATAGTCATGATGCTGTACATTACATCCTCAAGACTTACTTACTTTCTAATTGGAAGTTTGTACCTTTTGACTCCCTTCACCCTCCCAACCGGCCCTCTACCTCCTACCTTGGGCAATCACCAGTCTACTCTCAGTATCTGTGAGCTTATTTTTTCTTGTTGTTGTTTTTAGATTCCACACATAAATGAGATCATATGATATTTGTCTTTTTCTGTCTGACGTATTTCACTTATAATGTCCTCCAGGTCCAACCAGGTTGTCGCAAAATGGCAAGATTTCATTCTTTTTTGTGGCTGAAGGATAGTATTCCACTTATTTTTATTGTTCAATATGTTTAATGCTTCTTCCAAATATTAGTCACTATATTCTTATGATTTGATTTGGACTGAACTTTCTGAGAGCAGAGACCATATCAGCTCAATCCATTCAACAAAAATACATTGAGCGATATGAAGGACCAGGCATTAGAATACAGAGATGAACAAGACACGCTTCCTGACTCAGAGACCTCCTGGCCAGATGGGCCCGAGCATCCCAAATGTCTGCTGATAAAGTAGGTGTGGTATCTTTCATAATAAGGATAGGAGCTCTCTGGTCTACCTTCTCTCATTTTTTTTTTCCCCCTTCTTGACTGAGCCCGTGGAAATCAACATTTGGAGACCATGGAGAGAGGACTAAGTGTTTGGCCTCGCACAGGGGTTGTCTCCCAACACAGCTGGGCAACTTCTTCAAGCATGAAGACCAAGAGAGGCTCCCTTACACACTGGGAGTTTCTGTCAAGATTTTCTCCTGTCAGTGCCCACAGGAGTCCACCATTTTTTTTAGATACGGGCTTTTCTTTCCCCCTCCCGTCACTATTGTTTCTGTGAGAACAGAATGAGTAAGAACATCTACCTGGAAAAAACTAAAAACGTCTGTGCCTTCAGAGAACCAAGGCCTCCACATGACAGAACGCTCGCTCCGAGGCTCCTTGGGCACTGGGTCAATGAGGGGCTGTGGGAAGTCCCAAGGGCCAGACTCGGGACACTCATCATATTCAGCCACCTGATAGGGATAGTGACCGTACCAGAACGGGAACATCCTATAGACCTGAGATAAGAGGGGAAAAGGAATGAAAATATTGACACAGTGAAATCAATTGAGAAACTTCCTCTCAGATTTTGGCGCCACAGTTTACTACTTTTGTGCTATTTCTCTTCATTGCTCCAGAATTCCTCCTACATGTGTTCCATAACAACCCCTTCCTCTGTTTCATCTTTGTCACGCTCTGTCACCTTTATCTGTAGTTTCGTCTTTCCTGATCTCTGCGTCCATACTAACCACACCCCTCTCATATCAACACTTCTACCCTCATTTGCACACCAGCTCTGCTGCCACCCCGGGGTGGTGCCCTATTTCCCTGGGACTGTCTCTCCCGCCCCCCAGTGCATCCATCTCTCATTCTCATGCAGTCAGTTTGGCTTCTCTATCCC